TTACCTCATCCTTAAAATACTTGAGGCTTGGCATATGTAAGTGCTCAATGAAGGTCACTGTTGTTTCTTTGTGACATACATAATTGCTGACTAACTTACTCTTAATATTTTTGTGTATACAGTATTCCTCAAGTAGGTTAATAGAGTACCTGGATAAAGGTACCATCTATTTAGACTACTTATTTTCTGTCAAAGTACCTAACACATACTTTTCTTTGATCAGATATTCCTTGCTGAGGGAAGTTATATAAGAAAACAAAGTACAGTTTTCGTAATCTGTTTGAGCACCCAATTCCCTCCAGTGAATTCTAGTAAAAATTAGATGGTATAATGTGGCTTAGGACAGAATGCCTCTGTATATACTTTCGTTCTTTCCTCCTTTAATTTCTGCCTATTGCACCTACCAAATCTAAGAATGGATCTAACCACTTCAATCTAGTAGTTTAAGAAGAGAGGAAGAAGAGAGGTTGGCAATATGATATCCAACTACTGATACAAGGGAAAGTGATGTCATAGGCACTAATAAAGAACAAATTTTTTCTAACGTGTGTTGCTGTTATGTGGCATAGTTTGATTGTTCTCTGGCTGGGGCAGTATCCTGCTTCAGGTGGCTATGTGTATGAAAAGGCAGAAGAGAGATGGCTAATGATTGCATCATCTGAGGAAAATGACTGTTCCTTTTTACTGAATAGCGTGAATCTCAGAGATGGAAGAATGGCCCCACCACACAGGTGTTTACGGTTAATACAGTGATCTCTTTCATTATTAAAATATAGCCTAATGAATATTCAACTTTGGCCTGTCTGGTGAGCTATTCCTCCTTTTGGGAGGGTCAGGTAAAAGAATGCAAGGGAACATCAACTCTCTTCTCTTTTTCCCCAGCCTATCATAACCCCTTATCCTCATACTTGATGGGAGAGAAAATGGAAGTAGTCTCCGCTGTGGGCTAAAGTTGATGTGTGAAGAGATTTGGGGCATACACATCCCTCCTTCACTTAAACATGCTTGGCTTTTTTTTTAAAATGACTAAAATTAAGTTTATTAATATTGTCGTCATTGTAGAGGTGAGCCAGAAATTTCCATTTTTACCATGAAAACTAATGAGTGTATTTTCCCTGGCTCACTCTGGTGTTCTCTAAGTGTGCCTCTGCATTGGTGACTTTATTTGGGTCTCTGACTCTTGGAAGTACAGTGTTACTGTTAGAGATTCTTTATTGCATCTGACAGTAGCCATTCTACTTGCTACTGGAGGAGATAGAGGTGACTGTCCCTAAGAGCTTTGTAGCAGTTCATTTCCAAGGCCCTCTGTTTCAGGAGCTTTTGGTGACCAGAGCTGCCAGGTGAGCCTAGTCCTTTTCTCTTGCCAAGTTTGGTGCCACAAGGCTGAAGAGCATAGATGACATCACTTATTAGTTCCGTCTTTCAGTTTCTCTCCTTCAATTCTTTCTTGCGTTTTAACCTCTTTATCTGTTTTTAAACAAGGACTTGGAATGATTTGGTTACCTGTTTTAAGTTTTGTCCTACCATTGTGAATCTGGGAGTTGGTGGTTTTCAGGTTTTACCTGACTAGCCCTATTAGGGCTAAGGTGAAAAGTGGCAGCATGATCATGTGATCTGTCAGTATGAAAGTAATGGATCTATTTACATACAGCGTTTGTCACATTTTCCCTCTGTTAGGAACTTTTGTAAGGAATGACATTGTTGCTTGTTTCTTGAGGAGCAAAGGGCAGTATTTTTCAGAAATAGCTCTACAGTCCCCAAGAGGAAACATTCTTTTGCCATGAAATATACTTACTAGACATTTTGGAAAAATTGCAGTCTAAATAAGAAAGATATAACTGTAGTGTGTTTGAGGTTAAAAATTATCTGAAAACATTTTAACTAGTATTTTTGAGAACAGAGTTTCTTTTGTTAGAAATTAGAGGGTTTCAATGGAGTAAGATGTAGTCCGAAGTGATGCATAGTGGTTAAAGCAGATGATGAATTCAAACTAGTGATGGAAGTAATTCTAGTTTCAATAGTAAATATCATAATTCTTGCTTTTCATTTAATTTAGTTGGGGGAGGATTTGAATGGAAGCCCACTTGTAATTGATACAATTAAAATGTCATTGAAATGAAAACAAGTTCGAATTATCAGAAGGATTATTTTCTAATTATAAGATATATGCAACCGTAATTTCCTAACCATAATTAAGAAAGAAGTGTTTACACATTTGGTAATGTTTGTTCCATAGTATATATTCCTATGAGTACCATGATTAATGCTCATTTTTAAAGCATACTAAAGTTTCAGGTTTATTATAAATTTTAAGCAAATCAAGTTATTTAGCTTTTCTTTGAAATAATAAAATCATGTAGTTTGTAGGGAAGCTTTATTCACTGCTTTTTTTAACTATTTGAAAACTAATATGTAGTCTATATACTTTATCCTTTTTTGCTAACTTTTTGAAAATAAAAATAACTTTTTGAAAATAAAAATAACTTGTTCTTTCTTTTGCTTTAAAATGTTTGTCATCTCGTGTATGCCAGATTTATTGGACTGCAGTAGTTTTAGCGCGTTTTGGCTGGAATGTTTATGATGACATCATTATAATCTATATACAGTATGTGATTTCAGGGTTGAATATTTTCATAATTATGCTAGTTTTGGCAGTTCACTTGGAACTTTTTCACATCTCTTTAATGAACATGTTTTACTTCTGGGCTTTTGAGACACCCATATGTTTGGAAAATTAATAGTGTGCTTTTAATGTTAACGTGCAGAAGTGTATGACTACAGACATTTTTAAGGATGCAAGTTGAACTAAAAGTTATTACAGTAAGATTTTATTCACAGTAGTAGTCTTTTAGTATTTAGAGACTGTAACATCCCTCTAAGTAACAGAAGATGTCATTATAAAGATTAAATAGTGAAATTATTTTGTGGAATGAAACACTGTGAAGTTTGTTTTGCGTTAACTTAATATCTCATAAGTTCATGCGAAAATTTTGTTGTTTATCACAGCAAACTTTTACTTCTTTCTTGTAATGCAGTTTCAAACAGAAATTTTTCCTTTTGTTAATATATCACTAGCATCTGAAGCCATGCTATCCTGTAAAAGATCATCTTTTATTGTATAATTCTCTTAATGTGGTATCGAATAAGAATTTTTGTTTTCTAAAGGAGGTCTTATCATTTTATTTGCCTCTAGTACCCCATTAGATTGGTAAATTTAGTGGTTATCCTTCTTATTTATTCTTGAAGTTTTCTCTTCAAATATATAAAATAGAAAAACTAAATTTATCACCATTCTTGAAAATATTATAAAATAATTTTATTATTGATTAACACAGTACACCATCAATTACCCTTTGTGTTGGTATCTTTGATCTCTCCCTCCTCATGTGCATCTTTCCTTCAAACAAAATGTTCTCTTTTATCCCAAAAAAAGGAATAAGAAGAAGCCAGATGCTTTCACTTCATTTTACTACGCCATCTATTTCCTCCTTGTAATACCTGTCTTCTTGAAAAGCAATGTATGCTTATCTACCTTAACTTCTTTTTTTTGAGGAAGATTAGTCCTGAGCTAACATCTGCTGCCAGTCCTCCTCTTTTTGCTGAGGAAGACTGGCCCTGAGCTAACACCCACACCCATCTTCCTCTACTGTATATGTGGGACGCCTACCACAGCATGGCTTTTGTCGAGCAGTGCCATGTCCACACCCGGGATCCGAACCGGCGAACCCCGGGCCGCTGAAGTGGAATGTGCGCACTTAGCTGCACCACCAGGCTGGCGCCTGCCTTAACTTCTCATTCACTCTTTGAACTACTCATTTACTGCTCCCACCCCTGTCCTGTAGTGGAATTACAGAAATCTCCTTTCTTGTAGGTTATTGACATCCTCCTCCTAATTACCAAATCTTGAAACGTGTCAACTGGAATGAAGACAGAACATCTCTATAGTTCTTAATGTTACTCCATTTTTATTGAACTGGTACATACCTTTAATTTTTGGTATTGTTCTTCCATCTTAAACCTTGTATACTCTGGCTTTATTTGACTAATCATCACTCCTTGTATGTGCTACATACATTTATACTGTTTTCCTTTTGTTTTTAGTTTTTCCCTGATTTTTCCTACAGTCTTAACCTAAAACATTTCTACACTGAGTTTTAAGGGCCTGACCTCTCTAGTTCTTCCAAATAGAATGACTCTTTGTTCTCCTATTACTTAAAAACCAACAAAAAGTACTCTTGTAGAACTGGTTATATAGGTTTTTAATAGATTATGAAATCCTTGAGGAAAAGTGTTGTATCTTATTTGCCTTTGTAAATCCAGCAGTTAGCATGTAGGCACATTATATAAACATTTGTTGAATCAAGGTAGGAAAAGAGTACTCGCATACATTGTATAAAGGAATAAGTTTCAAAAATGTGTATGATTTGTTGAAGTTTCTGTATTATCCATGTCAAAACCCAATTAAACCTTATATCTAATCTGAATACTCAATTCAATAAATATTGTTAAATAGGATGCAAAAGATTCTAAGGATAATTAAGGTTAATCATTAAAGATGATTAAGACGACAGCTATATTCTTAATTTAATTCATAAAATAGTGAGGGTCTTAACATATAAACAACAAATAGGGGAAAATTAAGACCCTTTCCATTTATTTTGCATTCAGATAGAGACGGAAAGTGTTTAAAAGCTTCAATTAATTAGTCTTTTGCTGAATCCTTATATAAGAATTTTTTGGACATTATTAAGTGGTTTATTTTGATACCAACTAAAGAAAGGAAGAATTTGTGATTTTAAACTACTAGTTACTTTTAAAATGCTGTTTGAGAATGCAAATTATGAAGATTGTGTGGTTATATAGATTTCTAGAGCTAAAAAAATTAGAAGAGTCTATCTAATCACATTTAGTAACTGTAAACTGCATATGTTTAACAAAACTTTTCCTAATCCTTGAATGGTGATTGATGCTTTTCTTTTCTTTGTTTAAAATGAAAATAGGATGACCATGAAAGCTGTGGTTCTAATTCTACCAACCGTAGTACTACAGAGAACACGAAATCATCAGTAAAACCCCGAAGAATTCAGCAGGCTGCTCCCACAGATCCTGATTTACCACCAGGTAACTTCTAATGGGATTGATAAAGCCAAAATTTCAATTGTTATTAATCCTTGTTTATAGCCCGTTGTAGAATATACACTTTCAGTATTCTGTAGGGTCATAAAATATTTAAACTGTATGTGCATGGGCATTTGCTGCATGACATCAGAACACATTGAGTCCAGATCCCTCACAAATGTCTGCTTCACATTGTGATGCTCTTTTGCAGCAGGTTGTTCCTTAAGTTTCTTTCTTACATCCTCTCCAAGCAAAGACTTGATTGTAATTTCCCACTCATAGTCTTTTTTGTTCCGTTTACTTCTTGATAAACAGAGGAAAGACATTAGAGGGTTCTGAGTTTCTGGAAACTATAAAATTCACTAACAGAATCACAGAATTTTTTAAGTGGGAGAGACTGTCTCTCCTCTTTCATTTCCTGAAATTTTTATTTACCCCAAACAGTTGTGGCTTAGAAATAACATTTCCTTGGTAAATATTTAATGATGAAAAACCAGTGATCGTTATGTGTCAGCTCTGTGGCCAAAGTGTATAGCTGCTTTTGTAGAGTTAGGAATTATCAGTCACTTCTCTTTTGATTTTATTTGTCAGTTACTTCCTTTTTCTGAGGTGTAGTTGACATTGGTATACACTTGTTTTCTGCATCAAATTTTTGTAGGTTTTCTGCTGGTTTTAACCTAGTTAATATTTGAGAGTCTTTTGGCACCATCTACTTTACTTGTAAGAGGCTAGGGTTAGTATAACATTTCATAGCCCTCCTCCCTCAAATATATGTTCTAAGTTACATTTGAATTGAATATTTTTAACTAGTGTTATAGTGATGTTAATGCTGATGCTTTGTATTCTTTGAAACTTTACCCAACAGGTCTCTGTAATCCCTTTGGCTTTAGAATAGATTAATTGCTATAGCTGGAGAAGGTGCCAGAAGAAGATATTTTACTTCTGAAAGTTTCTGATTCTGCTTAGAGTAGTATGATGGTTCCAGAACTTTCTAAAGTTTTTCTTACTAATTAACTCCTTTGGGAAATATCTCTGGTGAATTAAACTGTAAATTAAACTGTAATGTTTTTATTTATTAAATAGGCAACTCCTTTCCCCCTTCGAATTTCTGACTACATGTCCCCTCAAAACTTCTTACATCAGCTCATTGTATAGAACTCTCTCCATCAATATCCTGGCAAAGAGTCATCAGTTTTGGGTTTAACTGTTGTCTTGTTACGTTTTTTTCCTCTAAAGAAAGAACTTGTTTAAGAAAAATTTAAAGCTTTTGTCAGTTGTTAATTTCACAGATAAAAATCTTCTATGGGCTAACCTGCGTGTACTTAAACAGGTCCCAGACTTTTAATGATTCTTTAGAGACTGTATTAGAATTTACACTGATATTCAGAATTGGGAGAATTGGCCTATTTTTAGGACATAAAACATAAATGTAACATAAAACATCTTATTTTTAGTGGTATAAAACAGAGCTGTGTTCTACCTGAACTAGTTGAGGTAGCTTTTGGATTAACATCTGCTTTTCTGCCTTACCCAGCAGGAGGACTCATATCCTCTTTTATGCTGACATAAATCACAGTTAAGGAGTTGCTTTAGGAAGTAACTGAACTTGTTGGGCAATTACTGGGAGGCAGAGCAGCTAAACTTAATCTTGCCAAAAGAAAAAAAAAGGAATAATTTGAGAATCCAGTTGGATAATGGTAAATCATTTTATTTAAAGGTTAACTTATATGGTTATTTGAGGACTCGTTTCTGTCAACCTTGTCCTGCCTGGGAACCATATTAAGGTTCTTTCATGGTAGAGATGAATTCTTGCTCTCAAATTTTCTAGGGCAAAGTTTTTTCTTCTAGGAGCTGTGGTTACAGTTTTGGAGTTTGAACATTTCCATAGATCTAGAGATGCTTTTTGAGAAAAGTTTTGGTGTTGCCAATAGTTGTTTGTCCTACACCCTTGAAGGATGAGTGGTTCTCTGATAGAAAGAGAATTCAAGTAGATATCTAATATCCTCTTTGCAATCTCAATTCTTGGTATGCAGAACAGTCTTTCTCAGATTGTGGATCTTGACTGCGTTGAGTGCGTTGTGAAAGCAATTTAGTTGAGTCATGGCAAGCATTTAAAAAATATATAGCATAGAATAGGAAACTTCATAGCATATGGCATGTAGTAAAGGTTAGCAATATTTCACGAAACTTGTATATGTATATGTGTTTATGTGCATTTGTGCTGGGTTATAATGTAATATTTCTTCCTGGGAGAGGGATCAAAAGAGTTTGAATCTGACTGAAGCATACGCATTTTCTTTCAGTTAACGATGTATAGGCCAGGATCTTCAATTACTGCTACTAATAACAGTTATGAATTGTGGCCTTAGCACATCCTGTACGATATGCTGACAGTTCCTATTCAGAGAGAAAGTTTAAGGATGTTTGATTGATTTCCTTATTTATTCATGCTTTCCTCAGTATTCTCTGCACTTGATCTCTCTGTAAAGCAAGATTACTTCTAAGTTAGATACCTGTATTATTCAGTTCTGTGCTCTCTGAAGTGAATAGCCTTGGGCTCTTGTTGAAGGTCATTATCGGAAGCAGCCCTTTGTGAGCAGCTTCTGCATTTTCTCTAAAATGGCTTTAGAGGGTATTGTCCTTTAACTTATTCAAGGTCTCTTAATTAACTGATATGTTTTTTCTTATTTAGTAGTTACCATTAAAAAAAAATCCTACTTTTCTTGTTTGCTAGGAAGCTTAGAGAGAAATTTTGCGTTCTATTGCATAGCTTCCTCTTTCTTGGTCTTGTCATATAATTATGTTTTTCATTTTCTTCTCCTTGCCCTTTTACTCAGAATATATGTATACATATATATGTATATGTATGTATACACACATACACAATTAGTGGACATATTTAGGGTATAGACAAACTGAAAACTATGTTGCCCACTGGGTCTGAAGTTATGACTTAGTCATCTTTGATCTTCATCATCTAGTATAAAGATCAGTAAACATTTTCTGTAAAGGGCCAGTTATTAAATATTTTAGGCTTTGCAAGCCATATATTTTCTGTTGCAGCTATTCCATTCTTCTGATGTAGTGTGAAATCAACCATAAATGATAAATAATGTACAAGGCTGTTCCAATAAAGCTTTATTTATGAAAACGGATGGCACGGGCCTCATTTTGCGAGCCTCTGATCTAATATAATGTCTGGTTCACAATAGGCACTTATAATTTACTGCACTGCACAAAAACTGAACTGCACAAAATCACAGTGTTTTCTTCAGACTTTGATAATCAGAGTTATAGAGTCATTGAAATGTCTAAGAAGTTACTTCAGATTTTCTGATCTAACTGTCTTTTTTGGACATAGACCCTTGAAAATCTGTTGAAAAAGTTACAGACCCATATATGCAAATTCAAAATTTGAATATTATTTTAGGGTATTCACATACCGGCTGAAGTCCATCTGCAGGTCCCAGCTAAGCCTCTGATCTAGCCCACATTTTGTGGGTGAGAAAATGGAAACTCAGATTTTTTTGGTATACATGAGGAGAGACATTATTAAATTAGTAGTAGTCATTTACTCAAAATTTTGTTTTCTGCAGAAAATATTGAATATGAAATGGAAGATATAGTTTGTGTGTGTGGTGTGTGTGTGTATGCTTAAATGCTTGCCATCTTAACCTGTTATGGCTTGGTTTTCTGAAAAATCTCTTGAAGGAAGTTTAATAATAGTTGGGGAGTATATCAGCTAATTTAAGAATGTTTATAATGTATCAAGTGTTCAAGAACCTGAGCCAAAATGGCAATGTATTGTTATAGAAGATAGCACAATCATTTCCTTTCTGTTTGCCTGAGTGGGGAACATAGAATTTAAAGCTATCCAGTTGTTCCTTTCTGGAACATTTAAGAGTAGAGAAGACCTTGTTGCAAATGAAAAACAAATGCATAGCATGTTTCACATCATTGTTTTTGTGTTTATTGTTTGAACATCTTCTATTAACAGTTTCTGGAAAATATTTTTAAAAATAATAATGTGAATAATGTGACAAATTGTGTAAGTTAAGTTATTGTTGACTGGTGAACACATTAACCTCTAAATTTCAGTGGATTTACACAGCAAAAGTGTTATGTTTTCTTGATGTACCAGTCCAAAGACAATTTTCTACCAGGAGCCCAGGCTTCTTTTATCTTGAGGCTCTGCTATCCTCTAAGCCAGACTTTGAATTTTACTACTTTCAGCCTTTTCAGGAGGAGAGCCTAGAGAAGACCTATCTACTTCCTGCCCCCTGGCTGGAAGTGATACCTACTCTTCTCAAATTTTATTGAGGAAACCTATTTGCATGAACATTATGTATGGCTTATAGTCATATCTCAGTAACAATTCTTCATTCTGGAAGAAGCGCAAAATATTGATGGATAGCTAGCCATTTCTGCCATACAGGTGTTCTTTCTCATTAATATATTGATTCTTTTAAAAGTAGGTTATGCTTCAAACTATTATTTTGTCAATAGCCTTCAAGATATCTAACGTTTATATTTTATTACAGAAAAGGTGATAATTGGAGAACCTTTATTTCATTCTAATTAGACTGAATTTGAAAATATTGCTTAGTGGAAGCAGCTGTTCGATTCCCTAAATCTTTATTGCTGTGTGAATGAGAGTATGCTGGAGCAGCTCATTGGAGGCTGTCTTTGCTTTCAAAGATTTAAAGTGTAGGAGACTTTGTAAACTACTACCAGTGCAAAGCCAGAGCAAGGAGGAGTTCTAAGAAAACACAAGTGATGTTTTTCAGTTGCTAAAATGAAGGAGTGGTTATGTCTAGGTGTGTATGGCTTCCAACACACACAAGTAAAACGAAGAGGCAAGAAAGATTAAAAGTGAAAGGATGGGAAATGGTGTAACAGACAAATACTATTCAAAAATAAGTCTGGGGCCTGGCCCAGTGGCCAAATGGTTAAAGTTCTGTGTGCTCTGCTTTGGTGGCCCAGGTTTGTAGGTTTAGATCCCA